CAAGCCAATGCTTAGAAATGGATTGTATAAACCTGTTGTTCTACTGTTGCGAGAATTACCCAGCCATTGCTGCTGTTTACAGTCACTACTTAGTAACAGGTCTATATGCCACAGTATCGTTTAGTTGCTGCTGATTATTATTCGGACTTTCAAGAAAAGATTCATTTAGGTAATCTGAAAACTTAGTTTAAATAAATATTATAAGGATTTGGAATCCCATATGAAGTAGTCTCAAGATAATGCAACATCATCTGAATCTGATGAATTTAAACACTTGGTAAAGACTCGAGTTTCAGGCTAATTACTTGTAGGATGTAATGACATGTTCTACAGCAGAAGTTTACTGTGGAGGAACTTACTGCCTCCATATTCAAGACACTGGTGCCTGCCTGCCTCCTTCTGTCTGGCTACTTGTTTGGCTCCCTCTTTGACACTTAAGATAAAGGCAGTATGTATCCTCTGAAACATCAGTGAACATCTGCTGGACCACATAGTGTCATATTCAGAAGACGATATTTCTAAAATTCAACATATTTACTTCTAGTTCCAGATATACATAATCAAATGACTGCAGAATGAGAAGTAAAAATAGTCAAAGATACCCTTACCAAAGCCACTGAGGATAACTGTTATCCATACTATTACTAGAATTAAGAAACACTCTAGTACTATATGTATGGTCCCCAGCTCAGATGTTGATAAGAATAAGATCAAGAGGCACAGCACTGTTGTTAAGACTTCAGACATAAAGTTACAAAAAGAAAGTGGTTCAAGCATAAAATGATACAAAAGCAGTCAAAAGGAATATTATGAGAGATCTTCAGCCAGAAACAAAACACTGGAAGTTTCTGTGTATGTTAAATCCCAGAATGGTAAAAAAGAAAATGTGTACCAGGTACTATAATGAGAAAAACAGATCATCTTAAGTCATATGTAGTTAAACCGAAAATGGGAAAATTGTTGAAGGAACTCGTCAGCTATCTTGAAGAGTGTAGGATTCTTTTGTAATAGACAACATTTCTAAACATGTAACTGAGCCTACTGCACAAATTCAACAGGGATCTGATATATATAAAATAAAAAAAGTAAAGCTGTCCCTGTATCAGGCCATGAAGACCCATAGGGTTCTGAGACGTTGAGGGTCTGACATCATCTAGACAATCGGCTCAAAGATGGCGGTAAGGTTGTCAGCCTTAGGCGCCGGCCGCACTTTGCTCCCCAGGAAAATTATTTAATTAATTCCTGGTACTCATTTCTGTTAGAAGCTGAGTGAACCCCAGGGCCTAGTGCAGCTGGAAGGATTAGGTCAACTGAAAAAATCCAATGATCTCATCGGGACTTGAACCTGCGACCTTCTGGCTTGTAGCATAGCCCCTCAACCAACTACACTACTGCATACCCATAGCATATACACATATACATATAAAGAGGGAGAGAGAGAGAGAGAGAGAGAGAGAGAGAGAGAGAGAGAGAAAAACATTTAGTTCAAGAAAGAGTACAACCCCCACTAGTGTATACACGACTAACATCACCTTATGCAACTGGGTCTGGAGGAACTGTTAAACCTATGGCAAATGAACATCATGTGCAAGTAGTGCATCAATATTCTCCATTTGCATTTACATACATCATGGATGAAACACTCTGTCTATAAAACCGAAATTAATGGCCGTGGGGATTCGTTGCGCTGAGCACGTGACACCCTCTATCCACTAAAGTTGGTACTAACTTCGCCGACAAGCGGCAGTCACTCGGTCAGTATAGTTCGCTTGAGGACTAAAATCACGGAGTTTGTTTCGTTTTGTTTTGTTTTGTTGGATGAAACACATACTGTGGATCATAAGATTTGCCATAGGATCACGGATGTGCTAGGCATTTATAAGTTGTACAATGTTAATGGTGTAAAATGTTTTAATTTAAAATAGAAAATGTGATACATATACTTTCAGTTTATCTCAGGGGTACGACTGGAAGAATGAATGAAAGCTTCCAATCCTGATGTACAGAGCACATCTTAGGAGGGCAAATTATTCAAACTGTGAAATATGCAGATGACCTTGTGTTATTGGTTAAGGAAGAAACTGTGCTACAGGGCATGATTGATAGACTAATTGAAATTGTAAGGTGCTATGGCATGGAAATGAATGTGGAGAAAACAAAAGTAATGAAAATTTCGAGACAACCAACCCCAGTAACAATAAAGATAGACCAAAAACAACTGGAGAATGTGAAATGTTTTAAATATTTGGGTAGCTTGTTAACAGATGATGGAAGGTGTACTTGTGAAATTAAATCCAGGATTGCCATGGCAAAAGCTGCATTTAGCAAGAAGAAGAATCTTTTTACCAGCAAATTGGACTTAAATTTGAGGAAGAAACTAATGAAATGCTACATTTGGAGCATAGCTCTGTATGGGACTGAAACATGGACACTTAGGGCAGTAGATCAGAAATATGTGGAAAGCTTCGAAATGTGGTGTTGAAGATGGTTGGAGAAGATCAGTTGGACTGATTATGTACGAAATGAAGAAGTGTTAATTAGAGTCACTGAGCAGAGGAATATCCTACATGAAATAAGAAATCGGAAGGCTAATTGGATTGGTCATGTTTTACGCAGAAACTGCCTTCTAAAAGAAGTTATTGAAGGAAAGATAGAGGGGCGGATAAAAGCGACAAGAAGACGAGGAAGAAGACATAAGAAGATGTTGGATGACCTTGGGGGCAGAAGAGGATCCTGTCATTTGAAAGCTCCAGATTGCAATAAGTGGAGGAACTGTTTTGGAAGAGACTGTGGACCTGTCATCTGACAAGATTACTGATGATGATGATGATGAGAGCACATCATGGACCACACAAAAGCAAATAACATTTTGTGAATAAACTGCTACTGAGTACATTGTAGAGTCAGTGATTCTGCTCTTGAGACTTGGAATGGAGGAATTCACAGCAGATGGGTCTGATTTTGTTTCTTCTGCTGTAACCCTGCTTCCTCACCCTACAAGTGTCAAGCTCAAAGTCTCCAATTATATCTCTCGAGTATTTATCGCATCCTTATCTTTCTGAATAAACCAAATAATATTTCACCCATTAAAAATACACTGGGTTCTGACTAGTATACATTTTAGCATATTTTCATACAATTATTCCTCCTTACTGCAAGACGATGTTCTTGGTTTACATTCGACTAATTCATAATCAACTATTCATCCCTTTCTCTACAGACAGAATAAACAACTGGAAGTAAAATTGGTTTGTTTTAATGGTGATCATAATGACCACAACACAATGGAATATTACGCTCTTCAAGGAATGCATTCTGTCATGTTATTCTATAAATTTACCTTTAAAATTGTTCCTGTCTCAACACAACAGCCATCAAAACTCACTCACTGTGCAATACTGAATTTATTGATCACATGGTATTACAACGTGCTACATGTTTAAGCTCCTAAAGCCATCATCAGCTTTATTACGCCTATAAGAAAATGAAGACTGACTTCCTCAGATTAGAATTCTCATACATCAGAAACGTAAAGTATTTCAGTGATGAAGTTCTGACAACTTAGAAATGTCTCAGAAACTCAGATGTTCATGCCATTAACACAAAACACAAACACAACCTTCACAAACCAGTTGCTATCTAACATTTTATCAAAAAGGAATGTACTGTGCTGGAGATGGCAACAGCAGAGGCTTTGCAAGTGAAGATATTCAAGACAGTGTTCTGGTGAAATTGGTCTCAGACCCTCCACATACACAAACTTTTCCCTGTGCTTGTTCATGCCATTAACACAAAACACAAACACAACCTTCACAAACCAGTTGCTATCTAACATTTTATCAAAAAGGAATGTACTGTGCTGGAGATGGCAACAGCAGAGGCTTTGCAAGTGAAGATATTCAAGACAGTGTTCTGGTGAAATTGGTCTCAGACCCTCCACATACACAAACTTTTCCCTGTGCTTGATGACAACAGAAAAGTCATTAAGACATCATAATAAACTTAGCTTCTGTAAAGGCAAGAAAATAACTAAAATTATATTGCAGTGTGTGAATATTTCATCTTTAATAATAACATCTGAACTCACTCTTTTATTTTCATTGTCATTCTTCTTTATACTCCTTTCATATTCGAATACCGTGGAAGCATGTGCATGTAACAATAATCAGAAGGGGGCCTATGGAGTGCACATATCTAGACATATCTAGCTCTCTGCAAAAATGGCTATGGTGTTCTTTAGCATGCAGCCACTTAAAAGTCCTTCTGAAGGAAACAGAAAAACCCCGAACAAGCGTCCAGCAAAGGCTAGTCTTCAAGAGTGTATGCAATGACTAAATTCCAGCCTCAGTACAACAAATTAATAATTCAACTTACAGTGTTCAGACAATCAACAATATTTTTCCTTATGCTGCAAGCTACAATTTTCTGTTATTCTGAAAGTACCTGAGAAAAGTAAATTTGAGGTTAGATCAGTAATTAATTATAGGTTAATTTATTACAGAGCACAATATGAAATTCAGAGGTGGTGATACAAACCCCTTTTGGTGTTTTGGGTTACGTCTGCCTTATTAATAAATAACTGCATCTGACATTACAGTCATACATATAGACCAAGTACCACTTTAAATAATTTTCTCATCTTATGAAAACAGAAGTGTACATCAAGGGCTAAAATACATTTAAGAGTTTTGGGATTTATTTTTTCCTTAAAACTTGAAATTAACATACAGAATATCATAAGATTGAACTCCTACATCAGAGAATGACGGTATTACCACTGCACGATGGCTAATGGTATTTAGGAAACTAATTACTGTTTCTTCATATAATCATAAGAATCACAATTACACCGTGCATAAAAAGTAGTTTTCTGTGAAGAGCTTGTGGCACTACTGCTTTAAGAGGCCAAACTGACGGCAAGATACTTCACCTCATTGCGTGTGGTATTCATACTTATTAAATCACAAGTTCCAACATTTAACGGAATAAACTACCCTTACCTGTTATTGCTGAAAATAAAGGAGTCCATTTTGATGAGAACTGCATACGCAGATGCCTACTGGAAATATCCTCTCAACTCTCTCTAAGACGCTCTAAGACAGGGTTAGATAAGTGGGACTATGCACAACCTACTTTTCATGAACATACGTCTTAAAGAGTTGCTCCGATCGTCAGAACGGTCAGAACTATAGAAAAAATACAGACAACGTATTGCATAAGGGTATAAAGTCCACTAACGGATAATTAATAACCGTACACAGCTGAAAGTCGAATAGAAAACTACTATCCAACCTGCTTCCTTGCGAATCTGATACTGATACTGTCAATGTCAGTTACATACTGTCACGGGTCTACGTGCCACAATATACTACCGATATTTATGACAAATAGTACACATTTGTATAAAAGAGAGTTACATTTCGACCGTGTAATAATAAAGTAACGCTACGTGTCTTCGAAATCTAGTTCCCTGCTATTTATAAGCGTATTATTTGTGACTTCTACTTGACAAGTAATGTTTTCCAAATGTCTATATTGCACGAAAGTACTTGTCATGTTTCATGTAGTTATATTTTAGCGACGTGACTGCTGTGAGAACCTCAAATCCCTAAAATCCGCCCAAATCCTACATAAACCTACGTTTGTAAGGAACTGTTCTGACTGGTTCTGACTGCAGCCCTTTGAAAAAATTCTGTAGCCGCCCATGATTCCCTTGTCAAGAACTGAGTATCACAATTAATAATATGTAAAGTCAAATAATCACAAGAGTTATGCGAAATGTTTACAAAAAATATATCGTGGGCTCCAATGTAAACAAATAATCTTAAATATTTGTCATTTCGCCCTACTAAATTATAATTAATGTGAAAGAAAGGTCTTTAAGGAAGGATAAAATTTCATGGTACTACACTTCACAAATCCATATCAAAATATTATCACTACTCACAGAACAGACATGACACTGAAACAAAAGAACGATCAATGAGTTTGTGAAAGAATAAAATACTGAGGAGAGTATCTGAAACTATGAAAGATAAAATACTGGAGGGCTAGAGACAAATGCATAAATGTCAAAATAAGACTTGATTGCAGAAATACAATTGTGTCAACAGCAAACAACCACACACAACCAAAAGCACCAAATAACCATAATTTACATTGTCATTCATAAACAAAATTACAAGGAATATAGTTATTAAATGTTATACAAGCTTAGCAGAAATATATTCATCTATTGAATAAAAAGCATTTGTTGTGAGGAAACTTTTCAGTGTGCATTTAAAAATCTTCACATTATCACTCAACCTTTGTATATTTTGAGAAAGATTATTATAAACCATAATGGATGAATATAACACGCCACTCTGGATTGAAGATAAACTCACTGATGATACATGTAGCTTTCCAAACTGTCTAGTGTTTATGTGATGAATACTATTGTTGGTTTGGAAAAAATTGCCTAACAACAAACATCAATATAGAATAGATATATAGGCTAGGAACCATCAAAATACCCAACTTCTTAAAACCTTCTGTACAAGAGTTTCCAGGAATCAATCTCAGCATAATCCTAATTACTCTTTTCTGGGCAACAAATAAACTTTTCATAACTGGAGAAGAACCCCAGAATATAATACTATATTCAAGCTGAGACTGATAATAAGAAAAATAGACCATTTGAAGAGCTTGTTCACTGACAAGGGACTGTAACTTCCTGAGCATAAAACACACTGTATTCAGTTTCTTTAATAATTTTTCAGATTGTTTTTTCCAACTAAGTTGGCAATCTAAATACATACCTAAAAAATTAACATTATCAACATCTTTAAGTCTAAAATTATTATATGTTACCGATAATGTATACTCTGGAGACTTAGGAGTCACAAATTTAATCAGGTGAGTTTTACTCAAATTAAGTACCACATTGTTATTTCGAAACCAGCTTGAAACCCTAGCCATAACTCTATTTAATTTAATATTCAAAGATTTTAGGTCATTTGAGGTAATCAAAATTGTTGTGTCATCTGTGTACAAAATAGTACGTGCTATATCCTTAAGAGTACCTGGGAAATCATTAATATAAACATTAAACAACATTGGTCCCAGGACGGATTCCTGGGGAACACCAAACCTTACAGATTTCCATTCAGAGATTGTAGTAGTCAAATTACAAGCATGCAGCACAACTCTTTGCATTCTGTTATTTAAACAAGTCTCCAACCATTTCAAAATAGGCCCTTTGACTCTATACGTCTTCAACTTTTGAATCAACAGATCATGACTGATACAATTGAAGGCCTTTGTCAGATCACAAAAAAATACCTACCACAATTACCTTATTGTTCCATGCTTTAAGATGTTTAAGATGTTTAAGATCTCTGATGTTGTAAAGAAACTGAATTGTACTTATATGAAACACATTTCAAGACTTCTGCAACATTTTATGTTGGTTTCACGGAATAATTTCTAGCAGACAAACGTTTAACTACCTGTATGAAAACTTCTCTTTTCCTAATGGTTCCATGGAAATATAGGTCTCAGACCAATTTTGTGGGACCTTCATGAAGCAAAATTATTGAATTCAGAACTTTCTCATTAGTGCAGAATCCTAAATAACTTTAAACAGTGTGGCATAATTATGTGAACATTAGGAAAGACTTGTAACACCTAACCCATGGGTTGGAAATACAAGAATAATTATAGATGGATCCCATAGAATAATGCCACATTGTTTAAAGTTTTGTAGGACTGTGCACTAAGGAGAAAGTTCTGAGCTCAATATTTTTCCTTCATGAAAGTTCCACAAAATTGGTATTTCTGTAGAATCTTTAGGAAACAAGGATTTTTCATACAGATAGTTGAAAGCTGGACTTGCTGGGAATTCTTATTTTGTACAACCAACAAAGATTTTCTGGTATATGATATGATATAAGATGAACCATGAATTATAATTTCTGAAGTAACTCCTCCTAGGACATCAAATAGGCGGAAAAAAGTTCCTGTGATTAGGAATAATGATTTTTTATGGTAAACAACGTTCACAATACCTCACATATAAAATTTAAACCCCAGATAGGGCATAATAATTTAGAACTTAATAAAGCAGACGACAATATAATGATATACCATCAAAATATTAGGGGACTGAGAAACAAAAGAACTGAAATGTTAAACTCACTACTCCCGGAACTCCCTCATATTTTATGCATAACGGAACACCATTTAAGGGAATTTGAACTGGAAAGCTCACCAATAGAACATTATAAGTTAGGAGCAAAATTCTGCAGAGAAAAATTAAAAGATGGTGGCACATGCATTTTTATTCATGAATTTATAAGTTTTATAACTATTAATTTACAAGAATTTTGCAAGGAACAAGACATTGAAGTTTGTGCCATAAAAATTAACTTATCAACTTCTATCATCTGTGTTATATCTATCTATAGGTCTCCTGATGGGAATTTCCAGTGGTTTTTGAAGATGATTGAAAATATTCTGAATAATCTATATAATGTAAATATAAATTTTATTATATGTGGGGACCTCAATATAAACTACCTAGATAACAACTGTAAAAAAAAGCAGCAATTTGATACCTTACTGTCTACATTTAATTTAACCAGTGTTGTAAATTTTCCAACTAGAGTGCAAAATGAAGTAGCAACGGCCATTGACAATATTTTTTTAGATGTGTCTAAAAACAATAATTATAATGTATATCCCCATATTAACGGCCTATCGGACCATGACGCCCAAATTATTAAGTTTAAAAATCTTAATATACAAGGATTAAATAATACCACCCAAATCATAAGGAATTTCAATAAACACTCTATAGCTAATTTTAAGCTCAAACTGAGCATTGAGATGTGGAAAGATATTTTTGAAGCAACTGACATAAATATAATGTTTAATAATTTTCTCAATACCTATCTTAGGATTTTCTACTCCAGTTTTACGAGAAGAAAAATAAAGAGCAAACCAAATGTTCATGAATGGTTAACTACAGGAATACGTATTTCATGTAGAAACAAAAGAAATCTTTATTTACAGTGTAGGACTAGTAATGATATTAAATTAAAAGAACATTACAAACAATACTGTAAAATTCTAACTAATGTCATCAAAGCGGCTAAAAAAATTCACTACGACAGGAGGATTATAGACTCTAAAAATAAATCAAAAACTATTTGGAACATAATCAAAACTGAAACTGGGAAAAAAGAAGATAAAGTAGACATTCAATCCCTTGATATCAAGGGTATTATAACTTCCGACCAACAAATCATGGCAAAAAATCTTAATGATTATTTTGTAACAGTTGCTGAGGATATTATTGATAATACAAGTATTAGTAAAACTGGACAGCCTATGCATGATAACTATTTAAATTATATGTCCTCAATGTTCACGAGTCCGCTGTCAAATATTCGACCTAAGCATGCCTCTACCCATGAGATAGAAGGAATCATCAAATCCTTAAAAGCCAAATACTCCCATGGTTATGATGAGATACCTGTCGCAATATTGAAAGCTAGTGCCCTATTTATTAGTTCTCCGCTAACATATATTGTAAATAAATCTCTTTCTTCAGGAATTTACCCAACTAGACTGAAATTTTCAATAGTAAAACCAGTATTTAAAAGTGGGGATAAACTTAACATCTCTAACTATAGACCAATATCTTTGTTACCGGCTTTCTCTAAGGTATTTGAAAAGGTAATATATTCAAGGCTTAACCAGCATCTAATACAAAATAAGATACTTGCTAGTGATCAATATGGATTTAGAAAAAACTCTACAACAAATAGGGCCTCTTTTAAATTATTAAATGAAATTTTAGTAGCCATGAACAATAAATTAACTATTGGGGGCATTTTCTGTGACCTGAAGAAAGCATTTGACTGTGTTAACCACGAAATATTTTTAAATAAACTGGGATACTATGGGATAAATGGAGTATTTAAAAAATTAATCAAGTCTTATTTGAACAATAGATACCAAAAGGTAGTATTAAATAATAGGACAACCTATAATACCACCTTTTCTGATTGGGAGATCATCAAATATGGTGTCCCACAAGGCTCTATATTAGGTCCTTTATTTTTCTTATTGTATATTAATGACTTACCCAAAGTAATAACAAATAATGCGAAGATTATTTTATTCGCTGACGATACTAGTATCATAATATCCGATTCGAGCCCTCATAATTTGGAAATTAATATGAATAAACAATTCTTAGCCATAAACAAATGGTTTGAAGCTAACCTGCTATCCTTAAATTTTAATAAAACCCACCATCTCCTGTTCAGGACTAAAAATAGTTTGGTAACAGACATAAGCATATATCATCAAAATAAGAATATCACTAATGTGCCAAATATTAAGTTTCTAGGTATTTATATTGATGAAACATTATCATGGAAGTCTCATATTGATAAATTAGTAATTAAAATGAGTGCAGCTTGCTATGCAATTAGAACTGTAAGAGGTCTCATGTCACAGGAAACCCTAAGGATGATCTACTTTGCCTATGTGCATACTATCATGGAATATGGGATAATTTTCTGGGGTAGCTCAGCAACTAGTATAAATGTTTTCAGAATGCAAAAGCGGATCATTAGAACTATTATGAATGTAAGAACTAGAGACTCATGTAGGGAACTATTCAAAAACCTAAAAATATTACCAATGTACTCACAGTATATATACTCTATAATTCTGTTTGTTGTAAATAATAGAGACCTATACAGTTCAAACTATGAGACCCACAATCTCAATACTAGACATACCACAAATTTGCACCTTCCCACATCACGCCTAACAATCTTTCAGAAAGGACCATATTATTTTGGTATTAAGGCTTATAACCACCTGCCATCCAGAATCAAGAGTATGAGTAATGATGTGAAACTATTTAAACTGAGGCTAAAAAGATTTTTTCTTTCAAATTCTTTTTATTCCTTAGAGGAATATTTTAACCATGTATGTAATTAAAATTGGTAATTGTACCCCTGATATGTTATAATTTTATATCATTACCTAAGTATTTTGTATCAATTATTGTTTTATAATTTTGATCATTTTATGCATTGTACATTAATATAAATCTTTTAACTGTCTTAATGACAAAAGTATGTATGTAGTTTTTGTATTTTGCGTATTTTAATCTATTAGCTTGGGACAAAATCCATATCCACTGGTCAGCTGTACCATAAGGATCAACGGAATGTATAAATGTAAATAAATAAATAAATAAATAAAGAAGCAGAAGTAGATGGAAAGACTTAGAACATCTGAACTAGCATCAGGAGAGATTTTATGTCAAGTACTCTGGTTTTCTCCTGCCAGTCATTATTCCACTGTTAACGTCGGTTAACACCACATATACACGGTGCCAAATCCCAGAAGACTGCTTTCTTCATAGTCACCGCTGTGAAAGCCTCAAATCTTACATATGAATTTTAAGATTAAATTGAAAAGTGAATTAATGAAAATGTTAAATAAATTTTAAACAGATACTGCAAGTAACATGTAAACTTCAATTAGAACCAAGAGAAAAAAAAACTGTATGCCATAAAATCGCTGTGTCATCATCATCATCATCATCATCACCACCACCACCACCACACTTAACAGATTATGTCATTTGGTGTGTATGAACTTCAGGACAGAAGAAGAATGGAGGGGTTGCTGTCACACAAACGTTTTTATTATTCCAGTCACAAAATGCTTTGACCCAGAGAGGCCATCATCTGGAAATGAAATGTACAAATGGTGATTGAATTCATATAAAACTACAACTGTGGTATAAATTTGAAAATGTGTTAGTTAAATTAGTTCAGATCTGACTTAATACTATATATACATCAGATTTCAAAATTAAAAATAGATAATACAGGTATGAAATTTAAAAATTAAATATAAAGCATGTCAGCAGAAAATCACTACGAAAGGTAGGAGGATTTTCTGGGGGAAGAGGGAAGGCATTGGAAAAATGCTAGAAATTTGTATTGTTCTCCTTAATATGAGTATATTATCATATTTATGGCCCTACTGATACAAATTTCTAAAATTTAAATCAGATGACCTGCATAAAATTGATTTCTTCCATAATGAATTACATGCTTGTTGAGATCCATATTTGCATGCCATATTCCTTTGCTCTTAAATACTGGTAGCAGTTATAGATTTCAGCTCTTCACTTTCTGGAAAGAAATCTTGTATTCAAATGTGACAAGTGAGAAGGCAGTTCAAAAATATCTGTCTTTCCTAGAACTTTCTGTATTAGCTCATTTTCGATTCATTAATACATATGTATGTTTTATGGAACAGGCACCAGCATGCAGCATTGCCACATATCAGCAGCAAAAATGCTCTGATACTTTGTAACATTATACAAATCTAAGATTTTGTTATTATGAAGGTAACGGAAAAGGTAAAGCTGTCCCAGTAACAGGCTGCAAAGGCCCACAGGGTTGCGAGACATTGAGGCTCCCACATTTTCTCTAGACAATCAGCTGACAGATGGTGGTAAGATTGTCAGCCTTATGAGCCAGCTGCTCTTTACCCCACAGGAAGATTCCTGGTACTCATTTCTGTTAAGGCTGAGTTGACCCCAGGGCCATAGTGCGGCTGGAATGATTAGGTAAACTGCCAAAAAATCCACCCCATCAGGACTTGATCCCTTGACCTTCCAGCCTGTAGCATGGTGCCTCAACCAACTATGCTATAGCATACCCCAAGATTTTATTATTATGCTTTCTAAATACTGTTACAAACCAGAGTTACAATCATTCTTGACTGAAGTACAAACATTTCAGTGCTTATCTGTCACTGTGTTAGCTGCTGGACAAGAAAAAGTATAATTATTATAGTGATGACTGCCATTATTGGCACTGTGTTAATCTGTTAAAATAAATACTAGGCTGTCATTCCAACCTATACTAAGATACAACAAATATTCAACATTCAGCTCCTTCCTACCTATCAGAATTCACAGTCTACTTTAATATTCACCGTTAATTTTTAGTTACGGTACAATGGAATCTGAAGATTATTAAGTGACAGTACTGTTCAGACATTATGCATGTGTAAAAGCAGTAAACCTGGGGAAGACTTGACTTTATAGCTATAAGCACAGAGTGTATGGATTTCTTTAAATAACGCCTACAACAGTGGTGAATCTGGAAACATTTAACCTTTAATATGCCCAACTAAGATTTTTATTAGCTTACTGGAACTTTATTCTTGCAAAAGCTCTTATTTTTTAAGCATTAAAAGGATTAGAGGGAATGGGCCAAAATTTTCCGATTCAACATGCAGTGGGCTCCACACCACATTACAGTCTACTGTGTTGCATATTGCAGCAGCCTCAGTGCAACATTTCACTATGACATATGCTCTTATGTGGGTTCCTACCATCTGCCATGTGCCATACAAGTTGTGGACTCTTTTATAAGAAAGTTGTATTTGTTGATAGAGATTTTCATACTCTGTCAACAGAAATCACTATAAACAAACCAACAAAAAGTCAGAAATTTTGAAAATTAATCTGGACTAAAATATTAATAATAAAACGTTCTGACCTGGATATGAAGTACTGACAGCATATAGATCCTTGCTGATTATATCCATACTTTTGTTGAAGTGGACTAAAAACAAAAAATTTTATATACTACATATAGTTGTCATTATATACCATTGGGTTAATACCAATATGAAGAGCCCTTTCAGCAGGACTTTTTATTATTCCAGCTGTGAGTTTCTTATATTAATAGATCTGGAAGATGAAGCTTTGAAACTGTTTACTAGCAGATAAGAAATTCATAACAAAAGAAAACTTTTAATGTGGGGTACCTAGACACAGATTTTGCATTACGTGCCTTTATGAAGTAATGAAATCATGTCATAATATAGTGGTTAGGATTCATATTTTGTGCTCAGAATACCCCACGTTTCAAATTTTAGCTAAGATTGTACTGAAGCTTATGGTGGTTTTACTGAATCGTGCCTTCTGAACAAAAAATGGCTGTAGAGTGTAATAACAATTACATTGTTTGGCTGGAGGGATATTTTGAAAGCCTTCTTTTTGCAATTTCACGTGTTTCTTCATACTTTAATATTACAAAAATTAACAAGAGTTTATTATCGTTATATTGCAAATTAAATTTAAATTCTGTATGAGAGAATAAAATTATGTCCAGTGCTTTCCTCAGGGTCAAATGGTGATAGTAACCCTATTGATATAAAACTGTGTAACCATGTAAGCACCCTTTGGGACACTTCGTGTAAAGGAATATGGAATACTCTTCATGGTGACAACCATACAAATAAATAATTTGTGCTTATTGTATATATGTGATACTTATAATTTGTTTTTAAAATTATCTCTATACCTAAGCACCAAGTAGTAAATGTATATTGATGGAATGGAGGTAAAACTCCATATAATCTTAACTTCAACACTAGGCGGAGGTGAGCTGTCACAGTCATGCTCCAACTACTTTACCGTGAAGGAACATTCCCTAGTACCCATAAGTTAAGAAAGTGGGAAAACCCTAGAGTTAACATGATTGTGGGAGCTAAGAGAAATATTTTCTAGGAGTTGCACCCCATGAGATTTGTTTGATGTTTTCCAGAACTTTGTGCTAATAGCTTTAAAACAAAAAGTTTAATAAGACAATGAACCAAATGTTGTAACTGTGCTAAGACAGTGAATGTGTATAGTTCTTGGGTAACCATTATGTGTTCAATAATTAAATGTTCACTGCCACAGTATCTCAACATCATGCTCCATCATGGTCACATTTTATGTTCTTTGCAAACAGTCTGTGCAGTTCACAAAGACCTTACACTTAATAAATCGCTCAACAAATTATCCAAGCAAGTAAGTGCTTAGCGGTAAAACTTCTGCCATAATGTCACTGTGATGCAGGAGTCAAGAAGTATATTCGTTGATGTAAAATTAATTGCATTGCACTGTACGATTTACCATTGATTTGTATTTTTTCATTTCTTTGAGCGGAGTTTTAAGCGAAGCACAAAATACGCAACACAACGAAGAAGGAGAAAGAAACCAGCCAGGGCAAGAGCATCAATCCAGTACTGTGCTGTTGCCATGTCCATCTCCTCAAGGAACTTTGTTGGGTTTCTAAAGTGGCAGTATGCTTCTGAGCAGGAAAGCCTCTCACGACCATAGCCATATATAGAGATCATTGCTCCCTCAAAGCCATATCGGATGTAACTGATATATGGAACCCACTGCAGATAGCCAGGTATTGTGTTGAAGTTCACAAAGAAACCAGAGAACAGAAGAATTGGGACTGAAGCTACTGGCCCAAAAAACACTCCATTCTGAAATAAAAACACTGTACTGTAAAATTCTGCTCTTACAGAGTATGTCAGGACTGAATTTATTCTGGAAAAATTAAATTTCTAGAAAAAATTCGCTTAGTGGGGGGTGGAGTCCAACTGGGTCCACTCGGCATGGCAGCCACTGATTGGCCTATTATGGCCTGCCCTGGGTAATTATGATGATAGAGAATTTGGTAGAATGAAGATTGGCAAGGGAAACTGAAGTACTCAGAGAAAACCCGCGCCACCACCACTTTATCCATCACAAATCTCACTTGACCAGATCGGGGATCGGACCCGGGCCACTACGGTGGGAATCCAGTGACTAACGACTTGAGCTATGGCACGGCAAATTTCCAGAAAGTTTAAATTTTGAAATTTGCTAACAAAATGTAATTAAAAATATTTCTAAATAATGACACAAGCTCAAATATAACCTGTAATCTGCATGTTTCCCTTTAGTACTACACATGACATGATGTAGTCTTTATTTGTGGCAATAAAAAACAACAGAATTGAACATTTCTTATCAATAAATTACTAAGTGTTTTAGCAAGATATGCAGAATTATTTTGATAAGAAATCAAAATGTTCCTGAAACCCATTTTATATTTTTCATTTAATGAAAACTGTCAATACTGTGATCAAACAATCATATAAACTCTTCTGTGTTACTGTTCTACAATTTTTGTTGTCACCTAATTTATAGTCTATTCTGCTTTCTGACATCTGACAACCTTAGAAGAGAGAAGGAATACAAAACAGTATAGTGACAGAAAGATGACAGGAAAGGAAGAGACTTCAAATCAGAATTCTAACAGACTTCACTATACAAAACCTCTGCCAAATGAGACACAGGGTAAACATGTGGAGTAATCTACACTGAACGTGAGATATTTAGCAGCAGAGCTTACCTCTAGATCACCAGACAAAACTGTCCTGAAAGCTAAAGAATCACGTAACCATACCTACCTCCACACTCATGGCTGCTCCTATAAGAAGGCCAAGACTCTGAGCTACAAGGGATGTGAGAATGCACATGGTGAGCAACATCACAAATCGCATGGCCTCAGGTGGCTGCGATGTCATGAAGTATACAATCGCCACATAGATGATGGAAAACACAATCTGCAACCCATTTCCATTGTTCAAAATGATGGCACAATTACAGTGCACACTACTGTGTGAGGTATACTTGACAAAATGCAATGCTTTAGGAGTCAGTTACTCCAATCATTTTGCAATTGACTCTTACCTGAAAAGGAAGGTCTGCCATTGTTTTTGCAAAGTAGAAGGACTTCAGAGAGTACCAATAGTTTAAATGCTCTCTCACAAACACGGCCATTTCTACTGGAACTGTATGCAAAATGAATATACATTAATTTTGTTCTCTGCAAGGAAAACTTGTGAGTAATTACATTCTGTGCTCTACACAACAAACACCTCTTTTACAAAAATGCCAGTTTCATATAGACACCCTCTGCTTCTATGAGTGATATCTATACAGGCCAATGTTTCTGAAATTGTTTCCATTTTTGCATTGAAAAATAGTGACAAATCCCCATAGAGAAACAAAAACAAAGAACAAATAAGACAGGGCATAAAACAAAAGACTGCAATCTTCTGCACAGCACTGTACCTAGTGGCTAGAAAATTTCCTCTTGTATACTTCAGATGACAAATTGGAACTCCCATTGTGTTCTTTGGATTTATAAGTGGTTAAGAAATTAATGCTATTACACTACTCACTGCTGTGCTCATCTTTATCAATAAGTTCATATGGGCTTCTCTTTAATGAACAATCTCACAGTGTGATTTTAGTACCTGTCTTGGTGCTTATGGATAATAAATAATTTTTATGTAGGATTTGAGGTTCTCACATCGGTGGTTATCAAGAGTTCCATCTTTTGGCTTACAATGCCATGTAGTCCATTGAAATTAACTCGACATTTCAGAGGAACACATAGCCTTCATCTTCAGGGTCAAAGAATAAACCAAGTAAGGAAACTCTGCACTTGCCACCTGTTTTCACATAGGCTTCATGCTTGAATTGAATTTATTTACATTCTATAAATTCTAAGCAGGTTAGTACCTTTGTATGGACATGTCCTATATCTCACTTGTATTGTGGATCCATGGAACGAAAAATAAATGAATGAATGAATGAATGGATACAGAACAAGTCAAAAGGTTACATACATAAGTACAGGCAATTTCAGCTTAAAAAATTAATATAACTTAATTTTACATCATTCTCTATTTACATTGAAGTATTCATCTAAAGAGTAGAAGGAATGAGCATGTAGATAATTCTTTAACTCTGATTTAAACTTTTTAGTATCATTGCCCAAGTTTTTAATACTTTGTGGCAGATTGTTGAACACTTTTATGCCAGTAAAGTAGACTCCTTTTTGATATACTGATAAAGTTGATGAGGGTAGGTGGAAGTTATATTTTTGTCTAGTATTCATGTTATAGACATCAGAATTTAATTTGAATTTATCTTTGTTGTAAACAACAAATAAGAGAAGCGATAATATGTATTGCGATTGAAGAGGTAGAATTTTTAATTTCTTAAATAATTCTCTACATGAATCTCTACTTCTACATCCTGTAATGATTCTAATTATATTCTTTTGTATTTTAAAAATTATTACACTATGTGAAGAGGCTTGGCTTATTCTTCAACCCTGCAGATGGAGGCAGCAGGTTCCTCTGAAATGTCAGCTGACTTTCAACAGGCTACATGGCATTACATCCAAGAAGACAGAACTCTTCAAATAATTCTTATACCTATAATTTCTACAGAAAAGTTTTTGGGCTGTTAAGTGTATTGAAAGCCAACGTTACCACTGGTATCCTCGACAGTATACAATTTTGAAATCATTGACATAGACTATAACCTTTACGTAAAGAAGTATCAGGTATTACAATATACTGTATGTGGAAGTTTCACTGTGTTTTGGATCCATGAAGGAAAAATAAAAATATCCATAATACGAGGGTAAGTCAATAAGTAAGTTACAAATGGATATAGAACTTAAACAATGTAGAATACTGATTTTAACATGCTTTTATTTCTCAACATAATCTCTCTGTACATTGAGGCATTTGTCCCATCATTTCACAAGCACCTGAAAACCAGCAGCATAAAATTCTTTGGGCTGCTGTCAGAATCAGGCTTGTTCACATGGCATGGTCTACCTTATAATGCATGACAGGTTAGGTTTTCACAAAGTCTGTGCATGATGAGTGCCGCGCATGCTGACCCCACAACAAAAAATGCAAAGAATGGGTCTGGCATTACAGCATATCAATTGCTACCATGATGAAGGACATGAAATGCTAGCCCAAATTGTCACAGGTGATGAGTTTTGGGTTCACCATTACCAACCCAAAGACAAAGCATGCGTCAATGCAGTGGAAACATCCTGCTTCACATGCTAAAGAAAAAATTAAGGTGACACCCACCATCCTCCAGGAAAGTGATGCTGTAGAAAGCTGTAGAAAGGGAAGTCACCACATGGTTCTGACTAGCAACCCAAATAATTTTATGCCACTGGTTTTCAGGGGCTTGTGAAATGACGGGACAAGTGCCTCAGTGTACAGGGAGATTATGCTGAGAAATAAAAGAATTTTTCAAATCAGTACTCTTATTTGTTTAAGCTCTATATCCATTTGTAACTTACTTATTGACTTGCCTATGTACTCTCCATGTGAATTAAATGACCCATGAATGATAATGTGCATGGATCACAAACAATTCCATTTCTATAGATATTTACTGCTGTGTATGAATACAGAATCCACCTATTATCCAAAATTTCACACTAGAGTGGAATTTGCTACATGAATAAATAAAAAACAATCAAACAAATATTTTATTAATTTTGGACTCTATTAAGAACTGATTTTTAAAAGCATGACAATACTATTTCCATTGGCTTCCTGGTGATGGAAAACTGTGTTAGTAAAAACTTGTATAGTTATTCAATTATAATTCCTCATACCATATCTCCACACCTGGAAGCATTTGCCACAAACACTCCATTTCACAACCTGCCTGTCATATATTCATTAGTTGCATCCTGCTGTGTGTTATATATATATATGAATTATGTCTGCTGTCTAACAAAACAATTATTCAGTTTTGATTTCATATATTGAAATACCGATATGGATCCTTATCGGTGCAATGCATCGTGTTATATACTAACATAAAATTTTTGCCTCGAGATGATGTAGGAAATACATAAATAAGATAAGAGATAAATATGAAGGTATATCATATATAAAAGTTAGAACATGTTGAATATATTACATTATTAAAAAAATATTAAAGGTATATTAAAAATGTTTAAAAAATATTAAAGGTTTTCTGATGGTAGGTGAAGGATGTGTATGCCAACATAAATGTTTAAGGTTTCACTGCTACAGTGTAGAAATATTGGGCATGTATGTTGTTTGTAGGTCTAGTTGTAGAAGCTTCCTATGTAGTAAGTCCAGTTGTGAAGCCCAAAGCTACAGTGTAGGAACTAGACATGTATGTTGTTTGTAGGTCTTGTTGTAGAAGCTTCCTACGCAGTAAGCCTGGTTGTGAAGCCCAAAGACAAGTTACTATGATGTACGAGTTGTTAGTGTGTGGATATTGGTATGCTATTCCCACAATATGTATCTTTATATAATCACACAATATGGCGTATGTGTTTCTTGTCTGGGTGTGTATATGATCGGTGTGTTCTGCACTGTATGGTGGTTTGATGTCATACTTACATGTGAGAATAGTTGGCATCATGGCAGTGAACATGAGGAAAAGCACAGTGAAGAAAATGCAGCCGGAATTGTTTATTACTTTGGAAGCTTCATTGCCAATCCCAAAGTAAATCATCCCTATGAGCAGCCCAACCACAACATGAGAGAAAAACCTCATCTGTGTTAGAGTCTGAAAGACAAGGATACAAACTAAGAGACTGTCAACATCAGTAAGGGTCTTAACTACAGATTACACACTTGTCCACTTATCATAGAATGGAATGTTTGGGAAGTTATAAAATTCTAAACATTACCAGTATCTTTAGGTGTGAACACTGCTGTTATGGTTCCATGCAGGATGTTGAAGTTAAGGACCTTAACACTACTAGGATTTAGAGATATAAATTACTAGTCGGGCTCCTCACTGTGGACAGGGATGTTTGACTGGGTAGGATGTTACCACTAATATGACAAGGTATGTAGGTGTTTCTCTCTTGGTCCCTTATTGTGGACAGTGATGTTTCTCTGAGTAGGACATCAAATTAGAATATTACCATTAATATGTGGACATCATTCACTCAGTCCTTCATGATGTACAAGATATTCATCTGAGTACAAGGCAGAACTGGAATACTAACAATAATACACTCTAGACAGACACAAAACAGTATGTCTTCTGGGTTGTAACACTGTACAGCCAGGAGAGAGCCAAACATTTCAGTGGAACATACCACCTCCAGCTTCAGGGCCAAAGAATAAGCCAAGCAAGAAACCACGGCATTAAAGCCTGGAAGACTGCACTCTTCATAGTCACCGCTGTGAGAACCTCAACCCCAACTAGACAGATATTACTCACCTGGTCCCTCATGGTGGACAGAAATGTTCGTTTGAGTAGGATGTAGAATTGTAGAAAACTGGAGGTTGGAAACCCTGTATTCTGTTTGCACTGGTTCAAGCTCTCATCTGACTCCAGGAGGGATGTTGTGCATGTCATTCCCGGAGCTGACACCGTACTGCCAGATTTGTGCTCAGCCATGCCATTCACAAGTACTTCTGTAAATATAGAAACCTGGTTTCAGTAAACACTACTGACTGAGTAGATATAATGTTGAACCTCAAACAATTCCAGGATAGAAGCTATATCTCAATTTCAGCAGCAAATCATTTCTACTACTGCTCATGAAGTTGTCTGAAATATTTCTGCAAGGTGCCATGCACAACCTCCAGCAAAGAACTGTTCAAAGCCTCCTGAATGTCTAATGGATCTTCCATGTGACAGGCTTCAGCTGGTCCTTCGTCCATGGAAAGACATAAATCTTAGAGTCCAAGACCGGAACAGGTGAGGAAGAAATGCCATGTATGATGAATTCTAATGCACAAGTAATGCCTCATATGGTGGGACACTGCCATGCTGAAGCACCCAATCTTTGGACACATTACATGAACTGTTTCTCACATACATACATACATTTCATTTCATAAGTCCAAAACAAATGGACATGAAAGTTGTCATATAAAAAAAAATACAAAAAATTTAAACAGACACACAGATAACAGAATAACTAAAACTAATTGTTTATGTTATGCTCCACATATTCAGAAACTGTATAAAAGGAATTATTCATAAGATATAAAGGCAGCTTATTTTTAAAAATAATTCTATCCTCTTTAAGGCTTTGAATGGTTATGGGCAATCTGTTGAATAGTTTAATAGCAGTAAACATAGTACCTTTCTGAAAAGCAGAAAAATTTGAGTTTGGCAAATATAATTGCTTTCGATTTCTTGTATTCAAACCATGAATACAGCCAAGCAGGCAAGCCCCTCTTGTAGCTTTCATGCTAAGCAATGAACTCTTCTTGCACAATTTGCTGCCTTCACCTTCCCTTTCAAACTGTTACTAGAAAATCATGCCTATAGCAACAATGGTGACTTGAATGACTATTATTTACTTTGAGAGTAATACAGGAAACATTACTTTTTCATTTCCTGTGATCTCCTGCAGAAAGTTCAGCTCATTATTATCTGTAGCACTAATAAATTCATGATTAGGAAATAGCTGTAGGAGTGGGGTGAGACTGTGGCCTCAAATGAGCCTATTGTACCAATCCCTGGTGAGAGCATTGGTGGAATGGTGACAGGAGGAAAATCAAAACACAAAGAGAAAACTGTTCCTATGTCACTTTTCCAACCACCAATCACACAAGGACAACTCTGGGATTGAAACTGGGCCTCCACATTTAAAAGTCAACGATTATTTACCTGAGCTTTGGCTAGCTGTGCATGCTCACAATTGAGTTAATACCAATCTGGCTGTCACACTGTTTTTCCATCTGTATACTTGGTATTTCCGGTTTGCTGATGCAACAAAATTTCAGGAAAAATGAGAATTGAGTGGCAAACACCAATCAAAATTCTAACTTCCTTTGCAAACATCCCTACCACATAAGAGTCACTACATACAAACTACTCCACCTTCTCACACTGTTCTCATTTTGCAGTGTTAAAGGGCATCTGCTGCAAGAAAAATATTCTAACTATTCATAACCATCCTTGAATCTGTGATGATACCAGAACATCTTAAACCATCTGAAGTATCCATATTTTACTATTCAAAGCAACAAATTCACCCAGTTTTAAAAACGCCTTTTTGCTTGGGTCAATCATGCCTGTAACTTTAATGGTGACTGAAGAATTCTACTAGATTTACGAAGTGCATGCCTCAGTATGCACTAGCAAGCAACAGCCCATCTGCTATAATGATGCTGTATTTGCTTCAGTCCTGGTTTCTTTCTGAAGTCAGTATTAATACATTAAAAAAAATGTTCACACTTAACAGAGGAATAAATCAGGTATAAGCTGTTCAGATAGAAACCAGACTAGGAAAGGGACAATGTCAATGTATACACTTCAATCATTCTACAGTTTCACATTTCCCCTTAAGAGTATATCTGCTCACATCACTGCAACTAGTCCAAACACTTCTACTTACTGTCAGTGTTTTCCTTGATGATGTCATTGGCTATGCATGTTTCTGTTGCACTGGCTGTAGGCTGCTGCTGGTTAAGATTGTTACACTTTCCGTTATTAACAGCTGTGACCAGCTTGGGGATGCTCTCACCATGCTCACCACAGGCCACCTCCATCACTGGAAAGCAGCAGCAAATTCATATGATTCAGTCTGTTATGGTGTTTAACAAGTACAAAATCAGCATTTTTTAAACACTGAAGGATGCCAGTATTTGGGTGCCACAACATAAAGAGACAGAAGTGGACATATCACTTCTTCTTTCAACCAAACTTAAAACTCTAAAATAATCATAAGCTCATCAGGATAAGAATTCTTTTACTTCAACTTTTTTCTGGACAAAATTTCATGAAAGAATTTAACATGGAATACTTATTTTAATATATATGTATATGTATAGCAGCCTCCGTAGTCTAGGGGTAACGTTCCCACCTCATGACTCAAGGTAAACGGATTCAAACTCGGCAGAGGTCATGCAATTTTTAAGGGCGAAAAAATTCAGGGAACAAGTCCTCCGAGAGGGACTTTAAGCCGTAGGTCCCGTGTCGTAGATTTATGGCACGTAAAAGATCCTCATGTCTCTAGGAGACCTCTAAGCAAAATTAAGCAAAATTAAGCAAAGTTTCCCGCCCAAGTAGTTTCCAATGTCTCCTGTAGATGGGGAAGTATCGGGAACCACTGCCAGCTTTGCTGGCTGAACAGGGCTGATAGCGAGCACCAGTACCGGCAGGGTATGGCGACTTGTGGAATGTCAAAGGGGGATGTACAATAGACTATTAGTCGCGGTGCATGGGGAAACCCACCCCCTCCAATAATAATAATAATAATAATATGTATATGTATACGTTATATTCATTGTAAACTATAACACTGTTATGTCTTATAATTCTAATAATACTGCTATTAAATTTTGCTTCTGAAACTGGTGAACATGAGCAACAAACTGGTCAATGTATTAAAAATATCAAAGGACTGTTATTCGTACTTTTGACTTTTGAACACAAAACAAAGGTAATTCCACATTAAGCTGATTTTTAAAATAGCTGAAAAATATATTAGCCCAGGAATTTATTCAAGCACTTATTCTATTTAAGTTTTAACAGGGATGATATTGCTTTAAAATGATAGGATGCATACAGGCTGAATCACAAATGACTAATATTAATTTATACTGAGAGAGAGAGGCGTGGGGAGTAAAGAGAGTAGGGTGTTGTGTGGGTGGTAGAAGAGCAATGCAAGAGGAGAAAGGGAAATCTGACTTAGCCACACAACCTCTTCTGTGTATCTATTACTGTCATTCTTTGTGGAGACAAGGGAATATTCAGTAGAGTATTTCCTTATTACCATCTTTGCTCACTAAAATTCTTGAGCAGTTTATTCCCCTCAGCTCTTAGAAAAAAAAAATTAGGTGGAAAAGCAGAGAGAGAGAGAGACCATGTATGTTTATCTCTCATGAAAACTGGGCAAGTGGTTTTGACCTGGTGGTGCAGGTTTTTGTGCATATTTCAGGGATATTATACCATCCCATTTGTTATCATTGTCTAGATTTCTTTTTAAAACTAAGTATGTAGTTATAAACACAAACTATTCATACTAAAATGACATAAGTATAATTAAAATTGGAAAAAGGATATATTGCACTATACTAGAAAATCAGTTTAAATAACAGAAAGAATATCCTGATGATTTTTTGTAGCGAATCTCAGACACTTCCACTGAATTTTCTTTACTTGATTTTACCGTCTACCACTTTTCTGGAACACACTTATCACATAAATTGGAAAGCAGCTGCATTCATTTCTTCACAGTGTAAAGCTAGCAATCGCAGCCTATTTCCATAACATGACAATCTATATCCTAGATCCAGTATAAACACATTTTCCCATTCAGACACTTACCATAGTCTGCTGGATTGTGGTAGCTTGGACACTCAAATCCTACTGAGGACAGAAAGGGTACCAGCCCCTGAACACTACCCTGGTAGATACATTGCCCCTCAGCCAAAGTGAACAAATGATCAAACATCTCAAAGAGCCTGGCACTTGGTTGATGAATGGTGCAGATGATGGTGCGACCACCTCTGGCCAAACTCTTCAATAGAGAGAGGCACTGGAAACAGGATGAGCTGTCCAAACCACTGCGACAGAAACCATTATTTACATTAACATCTTGTGGACATGTTGTGGTGATCAGCATGAATTCCTATCTAAGCATGTGTCCAGGTCAGGCACAACATTTCTGTGGACATGCTGTTTAGGCTAGTGCTCTTACTTAAATGTACCAGAGATGATTTAGGTCAGTCTGGGCTTCGATCAGCTGCTGAATACTTCAATACTAAGAATACTGACTTCCTTTGACAAAGCTTTCATAATAAACAAATTCATATTCTCTAGTGCCTATTCCAAAATGAATACTTCTAATTAATCTCTGGCTGCTGAGTACATGAGCATGGCAACATGAAAGAGGCCTACAGCAGATTTCATTGAATAAATGAAAGTTGCAGAATTTTTGCTGACATATTATCACATACTTGAGACAGAAAAGCTGATGACAAGTCACAAAGTATAGTAGTGTGATTTTTGATGAGAAATGTCTGAGTACATTTCACACTAAATTACACGAAATCATGGTAAATAATAAACAATTCTAAGTCTTATGACACAGACTCACAGGAAGAAAATTATATTGAAGATGTTTTAGATTTTGTATGGAAATACAGAAATCAACAAACTTCCTGATAAGTTCCACAGTGCTGCTCAGGTCGTCAAACTCTATATTGACAATGATATAATGGAGGTTCTGCAGAATAATCAAATCTTTACAGCAAAAAAAATTCTGAAAAATGGATACCTTTCCTCAAAACATTTAAATATCATATTCAGATATCAACCTGTCTAGTCACTATCATGTGGCAATACTCACAAGCAGGATGAAAGAAATTGAGCATCGAAGAGTTCTTCTGGGCTGTCAAATTTTGATCCACTATGCAAATGAAATTTCACTTTTACCCTATTTTAAGTGTTGCTTATAACCTTCGTACTTTACATTATTTTTCACCTTGTTGGTTCATCGAAGAACATGACTGGTGGATTATTGACAAGCTCTAAGGCAATTGAAAGACGCTTCCGCTGGCCCCCAGAAAGGTTTGTAGTTCGAGTATCACAGCACTCCACAAGCCCAAGTGTCTCCATGATTTCTTCAACCTGGAAAAACATGAGGAATGAAAAACCTTAATCAGAGAAAGAATCTTATATGTATGAGAATAAACCTTATTGGATGCCCTTATTCTTTCATTGTCATTGTAGAAGTCATTCTTATTAGCAGTATCTTTCACACAAACAGAATGGTGGATGAAATGATATCCAGTTTCTTTTGACTGTGAAACGGCATATTTCTTATCGAGGAAATTTGAATTATGCCGGAGAGGGGCCTACTTCAAGGTGATTGCACTAGGATGCACATGATTACTTTGATGCTATTAAGAGGATGAATAGCACCAGTTATTGAATTTACCAACAAAGCAGATTCATAATATTGTATTTTAGCGCCCTGTTGCACTGATTTTCGTTCATGATATATCTGCAGTGTCTGTCTTTTAGTGCACTCAATTTCACTTGTTATTTCACAACATGTTTCAGCACCATGAGAGTCGTTCCTCTTTTTCTCAGAGATATACACAATATGCACTGAGAATAAGAGGAATGACTCCCATAGTGGTGGAACTATGTGCGGTGTTAAAATTGGGACAGATAAGATAAACAATCTTAACAAAAATTTTAGTATATAAATATTTATTATAATTGATGAACATTTTTAAATACTTTTTAACCTTTAAGAGCCTAATGTCACCATACGGCATCATTTAAAGTACAGCTGAGTGGCCGTGCGTCACCATATAGGTACCTGCAATCCATGCTTGTGCACAGTGTTTTAAAATCTTATTTTAAGATAGAAATTCTTGTTCTACTTATATTATTTTTGGGCATGCGCTTTATAAGTATACAGTCTTCCCTCCTGCGTCATCTAACTGAATATTGCATCTAACTGAATATTGCATCTAACTGAATGCAGAGTCCGACATCGCAATTCAAGCAATTTACCCAGATGTAACACACGACATCTCGGTCTCATATTACAGGAAGTTGGCTAGTGATGTCCAGTGGCCTACTCTAATTGTAACGCTTATAAAAAATAAAAATTTCAACTATCCACTATGGTGTCATTTTGCATGAAAGAAGCCGATTCTGAGAGGCAGCTTATAACGGTACACAATTCTGAAATTGTTGAGGAAGCATGGGGATAGGCTTGAACATTAGGCATGTTGTCACTGTTCTGAGAACAGTATCTCTGTGTGGCAGTCTGATATATAAACAGAGTTACTGAAGGACAAAGTAGCCACACTCGTTCATACAGAAAGGTTCTGATGTGACCACTCGAGAATGTGCAATACAAACAAACTCATTCTCCTTTTGCCAGATAAGATACAGTGAGAGTAAGAAGGGTGTTAGCAGCATGCATCTATACTGCAGAAAGGTTTAGTGCAGTAACTTTATGCATATCTGTCGACAGAAGCTAGAAATTGGGGAAATTTTTTTGAATCAGTGTAACAATGTTTACACATTTTAAAATCTGTAAATTATAGTAACTGATTCTACATTCTTTCTAGATTAAAGCAGCATTTATTTCGTTCGTTTATCACAATAATTGTAGAAATCACAGCATTTTTAGTAATATGATTAAATTCTTATTACTCTATAATGGCAGGCATTTAAATTAATACCGGTCCACCGCCATTATCGGAATTTAAAAAACCCGTCTCTTAAAGGTTAAATTTTACGATGACATGATTGCAAGCAATGAAACAGATTAACGTAAAGGGAGCTCCTGATGATGGCACTATAGTGCCGAAACATGTTGTGAAATAACAAGTGAAATTGAGTGCACTAAAAGACGGACACTGCAGACATATCATGAAGCAGATTCAATATGAAACAGAGAGCAAAACTGTTTTGGTTTTTGCAGAAATGAAATGTTTTGTTGCAACATGCAACCCATTTCATGCTCATGTTAGGATGTGGTAAACTTCTTCTCAAAAGAACTATCCATTAGGTTACTAGTCAATGTCAACATGGTAGCTCCATTTTGAAGTGAATGCATCATCATGCTGCAAGTGTGCTACCACCCAGAACACAACACTGTGAGAGATGCACCACAAAGGAGCCTGGGAAAAGAAGAAACACTGCAACAGACTCAGTGATATCCAGATGTTACATCCGGTGAAGCCTGTGGTTAGATTTGGATGTTCTCCCATACAAAATGAGTGTGCTGCATTAATGCATACAACAAAGAGTGGAGTTTGCTGAACATGAAGGAGACATACCATACAACATGTGTTTATCAGATGAGGTCCATTTCACTTGGAAGGAGCAGTGAACAAACAAAATATGGGCTTCTGAGATGTAAAAAATACACGTGTTCACTAAGAAAATATGTTATGCAGCAAAATTACTATGTGGGTTGCCATATCAAGCCATAGGCAAATCTGACTACACTTTTTGGACTGTACTGTGAGCTGTGAGCAGTACTCGAGGATGATGCATAAGAGTTTCATGCCACAATTTGTTGAAACTGGTGTGGCAATAAGAAGAAAATGGTTTATGCAGGAAGACATTAACCCCCACGATGTTTCTTGTGGGATTCATGAAGTAAAAACTGTTTCCAAAAAAGCTGGCCTAAATAATGAAATTCTTGGCCATCCTGTCCAACTAGCAGAATATTATGGAGAACGTGTTGATGAATAATCAGGAATACACACAGTCATCTTTTGGAAGCTGCATGGCTGAATCATAACCATACTGATTATATACTTTGCTAAGAACAATTCTCCATGTCTTGATGCCAGTAGGCATATGCAGATTTGTATCACTATGTCACAACTACGGTATATTGTGACATGTAGACCCACTGCTATGGAATGTGTTTACAAACATGTTTCCATGGATTCTTGAAAACCAACTCGTTATGGAATATGTTACCATGTATACAAATGATCAACAGACATTTCCTTGGACACAGATAAGAGGTGAACAGAATGGAGTTCAGACTAGTAGAAAACCAACAAGAAGGGAAGTCAGTTGTACTTCAGATCAGAATGGAGCCAGTCATAGCCCAGTCAGAATGAAGCAAGCTTTAGACAGTCATTTATTGTGAGTTAGATAACCAGAAACTGGGTTTGATTCTTGGAAGGGGCAAGGAATCCTTATCCTCTCCACAGCATCCACACTCTGAGGCCCATGCAGCCCCTTTTCCAGGTGGTATCAGGGGCTCATTCCACAGAGATAAAGCAGCAAGGCATGAAACTGACCACACATGTCCATCTAGAGCAAAAGTTAGGAATGATGGCAGTACACCTCCACTCCCCATATGTATTTGTGGTGTGGTGTTCAATTAATTAAGCACATTACATTTAACTTACTACTCCATATTCCTCAGGGCAAGTAAGAGAAGTATAGAGATCATAGGTATTACTTACAACAATACGTTTGGCAATACTGGAAGTCTGTTTGCCAAGTTTGAGATTAGCTGAGACTGTCATTGCTTCAAGGACGGTGAGATGTGGCAACAGCTGGTCATCCTGCATGATGTAACAGGACATCTTCCTGAAGTGCCGTAGCTTGCGTTCCTTCCCATTTATAAGCAATGTTCCACTAAGTCGTGATGTTCTTAGAAACAAAAACTTAAGTGTTATAAATTTTTACAAACCTGAATGCTTGTGATACTTCAATATTGGTTAACCACCTGAACAGCAAAATAACTCCCTGACTCTAAGTTATTCTCCAATCAAATGATACCATTTTTCATCTATTTAAGAAAGTTCCTTTTTAGTACAGAATCAAGTTTCATTACAATCCCAACAGAAGCCGCCTATTATATATACAAACAAGTTCATATCCTTACAGCCAATTATCCAAAACCAAATTTCATTCATTTTCCCTGTGCAAATGTTCTGCCTATTTCTTCATTCACCCACACATTGTACACTCCTAGACTATGTGGTATCTCTGACTTGAGGTAAAATGTAAAGAGAAAGTTGTCTCTGTACTTAACTAATTAAGCAATACACCATGAAGGCATATGGGGAAGTGAATGTATAGATCCACATTTTCTTGAACTTGGCACTAGTTGGAGGTGAGTGGTCAGTTTCACACTTTGGCTCCTTTACCCCCGGTACCCATCGGATAGGAGGCTGGGTGGACCCCAGAGCTGGAGTGGAAAACATGGAGAAGAAAAATTCTTGACCCTACTGGGGCTCGAACTCCAAACCTTCGGTCATCCACCCAGTAGCCAGCCGCTATACCGACTACACTATCCTGGCTCTAGGTCTCTGTGACTTGATTATGTTGACACTATTATGTGAAGATAATAAAGCATGAAGCCTTTCATTATTAACTTCCATCGTGTCTCTTAAATCTAAATATTCTGCACAGTTTGTTTGTTTTCATATACCTTTAATTTCCGTTGTCCTTTTGCCATGAGAAGCTCGGTTTTATATTTATTTACAACAAAGAATGCAAATATTCCTACTAGACTTGAGGTTCACAAAGCAGTGACTAAGAAGAGCTCTGTCTTCGAAATATAATATGTGAAGCTGGCAGCAAGCTTGCTGCAAGCTTACATGATGGCTTCCTGCCTGGGCTGCTCTTAAGCTTGAGGATGGAGGCAAAATCTTCCTCCAGAATGTTGACTGACTTTCACCAGACTATACAGCGTTACATCAGAGAAGGCAGAACTCTTCAAGGATTTTTATGTACTTCAGTTTTTAAATTTCTGTAATGAAGACAAGAAGACGTCACTCACTTGTAGCCAGCAAGAATGTTCATTAGAGTGCTCTTTCCAGCTCCTGATGGTCCCATGATTGCAGTCAGCTCCCCTGAACGAAACTTTCCATTTACATTTTTAAGGACAGTTTTGTAACCTAAAACACAAAATGAAGTGGTTTCACTGGCTAGCTTTAAAGTAGTATTTAGATAAAAGATCCCTATATTTAAGTCTACTTATAGAAAACTGAGTGGTATGAAAAGGAATGAGCTAGGTAGCAAATTTGTTGGAAGGTTAGTTAATACTAGATAGATAGTTATTTACATAACTGACAATTTATTCAGTCACTTAAGAAGGGATCTCTCCTCTGGCATATAACACCTTGTATCCAATGAAAGTAAACTCTCACTTTCAGCAGTCTGTATGGTATTATATTCCATAAGATAGAACTCTTCCTAACTGCCATATAGTAATTTAGTCTGCTTCTTATTTAGACGTTTAGCTATTCATTCAATCACCACAATTACTCTGTTAATGAACTACTTATCTCATTAGCGAGCATTCAAACAAACCTTCAGAAAGTGTTTCAAGTTACAAATCTTGTTTTCCTTATGACATTTCCACATTACCTCGCTTTCTTCCCTCAGAGACTGAATAGGCCAAATTTATGAACTGGATGTCTACTGGAGGCCGTTTTGGAAGGTGGCTTAACTCAATCGGTTTCTTGTGGTTGATGGCAGCACGACTGCTGGAGAATCCCATGGATGGCAGTGTGCAACTCTTGTTAGGGACTTTCTTAACCAGATGGCTCCCACTGCTGACTGCACTTGACGTTGTAACAAGATTGGGACTACTGCAAATTGATACAACATCAATAGACAGTGTATCTGTTCCGTACAAGGATAAGAAACCTGATTCACTCTCATGTTGCCCATGCAGAACACTGAATGTTAATTCTTATGATGAAGAGGTTTCATTATTCACAATGCTAAGAAACCCAATTTCAACAAGAAAACATATGGTAGTCCTCTGGGTTGTTTTCAGATAATTTACTGATATCTGCACAGGCACTTTCTTAAATGATACTTTTTCTCACAGTCTCGCATATTTATGAAAATGTGTCTGTGTATTTTAAAACATGCTATGAGCAATCAAACAATATTTACATCAATCAACCAGAATAAATAAATATGTATTAAAAGTTAGTTATTTTAGGTTTACAGAGATGTTATTCTGTATGCATATATGGTCGTAGTGCATCCTTTGGTTGCAAATGGCTTCCATAGAGAGAAGGCATATACTAAATGAACTGTCATTAAAAGCTGAAATAGGATGGACCTTCTGTTGCAGAATACATTGGCTGAATTTATGTAGCATAGCAATAAATCGCCCTCTAGTACAATAATATAATATATATGATAAACATATAGCACAGCACACTTTGAAAACATTGGAATAAGACAACCAATTTCCTGGGCCAAGATTTTAATTTTGGTTTAAAACGTAAATATGCAAGGCTCTTCAGACACAATATCACATTTGGACGTGTCACAGTGATTTTGTAAATTTATCTGTTGTATCTAGGGTATCCAAACAGCCTAACTGGCTAAGTGCATTTCCACTTTTGCCATTTACAGACTACATGGCCATCTTGATCAACATTATTATCATGACATCCATCTTTGATAGTTTATTGTGATTAAATAGTGTAAGAGGTGTAGCACAGAAACCATACTGTGGCACTGTGACCACACTTAGGCCACAGAGCAAAATGTGGTAGCAAAAGCCACTTGCGTTTGATGTCTTAATTTCATTCCTAGAAATCTGGACAACATTGTTAGTGCAGGATCACAGCGATGGTTATGAAGAGCACTATCTTCTGAGATATAACTCCATGTAGTCCGTTGAAAGTCAACCGACGTTTCGGAGGATCATATCGCCTCCGTCTTCAGGGTAAAAGAATAAGCCAGAAAGGCGGTGACAAGCAGAGCAGACCATGAAGATGGAGGCATTATATTCCTCTGAAATGTCGGCTGACTTTCAGCGAATTACACGGTGTTGAAAGACTGGAATAATAAAACATGAAGTGAGTCGGCACTAGTAGCGCCCCACCGTGCGCACAGCCTTCCTCTTGCCATCCTTCTTTCTTCTTTTGTCCTTTACGCATTCTGCTTCAACACTTTATTTTTTATGTGTTTCTTTAGGCCGAAGTCTCTTCTTTAACCTTTCTCTCGTTCCCCCTTTTTTTCAACCTTCTCTTTCTTTCCTTCCGCCTTTATTCCTTTGTTTTCTTTCATCTGTCTATATACAGCTCGGGGCACATGCTAGCATAGTTGGTTGAGGGACTATGATACAAGCCGGAAGGGCGCGGGTTTAAGACCGGATGAGGTAGATTTTTTTTTCAATTTATCTACTTCTTCCAGCCACACTACGTCCCTGGGGCTGACTCAGCCCCTAACAGAAATAAGTACCAGGAATCTTCCTGGGGAGGGTAAAGGGCGGCCGGCGATTAAGGCTGACAACCTTACCGCTATCTGTGAGGCGATTGTCTAGAAAATGTGGCAGCCTCGACGTCCTTTGGGCCTTCAAGGCTTGTTACAGGGGTAGCTTTACCTATAGCCGGTATGAAGCTTAGGCTACGGCCTGGACGGCCGAGGACTCAGGACTGCATTACCAGCAGGGACAAGATATTTTTCTCTTTTCCAGTCTCAAGACCGGTTCTGGGTCCCATCCAGTGGCCTACACAATGCGTACCAAGGGGCCATTTTCCAAAAAGAAAAGCGGCAGGAGCTTGAAGCTGACCACTCACCTCCATCTAGTGCCTAGGTTAAGGATGATGGAGCTACACCAACACTCCTCCATACGTCTTCATGGCGCAGCACTAAATTAAGGCCAGGGATAACTTTACCTTTACTATCCTGTAATCATGTAAACATATTTATTTCTTGTTTTATTTTCTTCTCTCCATAATGATTAGTAACGAGGTTCGTGTAGCAGTCACGGTCTAGACCTGTATCTGGGAAGTGCTCTGTTCGGATCTCGACAGGGACACCTCTAGGATTAGTTTTTTGTGGCTTCCCTAAGTTCCTCTACGCAAATGCCAAGGCACTATCTCGATTAGGCCAACACCTATTCCTTCCAAATCCTTTCCAATTCACTATTCACCAGTCACCCTACCATTCCACGTTTAATATCTAACAAGCTGACAGCATCGAAAAATAAACCACAAAAAATGACAGTCCGTGGACCACAGTTCATAAACCCCGCCACTGAGAGTCCATTTCCTCGTTAAACAACTGATCCTTCGTAATTACAGGTCAGCCTGAGAGCCACGGTCGTCTTCACAGAATGACGTCATAGATCGTTACCAACCTCGCGAAGTTTCGGGCGACTGTCTGCCTGCCCGTCCTCCAGTTCGTGTACTTGGTAAAGGAAGGGTTTCCACTACAGTCTGTGTAATTATACTAATTGATTCAGGAGACGCAAATTGTTTGTTGTCAGATCAATGTTCGATAAACAACACAAGGTTTCTTATTTTGCTTGGTGTGCGTATGAAACTTGCTCTCTTATTTCGAAGGATTACCAGAGACAGTATATAACAGTTTCGGCAAGAATACTGGGATCCAACAAAGTAAAAGGGAAGAAAATTATAAGAAGTTTCAATGTTTGTACTCTACTATATTCAATGTAAGGATGGCAGAAACAGGCCAGTCTCTAAGAATGACGAAACAGAAATGTCCACGAAATTAGACTGATAAATCTCATATGAAGGCATACAGAGAGACTGGAGCAGATTTGAGTATTACATCGATAAAGTGCTACACACTCACTTTGTTCCTGATATGGTAGAATTGGAAATCTTTACCCTGAGCGTAAAAAATCTTAGGTTTTTGATAAAAGGGGAACTGCTGGAACAGTGTAATTACTTTGAACCACAACTCTGGTTTTCTTCTCCTCCGATTTTAGAGGTTGATTTTCACACAGATTCAACCTGCAACGTCCAAAGCGCTGAGCAACTCTGAGGACGCTGTTACAAATCTTATCATCACATATTGAAATAAAAGTCACACAATACAGCGATCGGGGATATTCACACCTCACACTTCACCATGCACGAGATATTCAACTGATCACGGAGTCCCCGAATTTCTGCACGACCACAGAAGCCTATCGTTCATCTCTATCCACAGGCAGTTCAATCCACTTTATCTGGGGTCGACTCAGCCTTTAACATAAATGAGTACCAGGAATCTTCCTGAGGGGGTAAATGGCGGTCGGTGCGTAAGGCTGTCAATCTTACCGCCATCTGTGAGTCGATTGTCTAGATAATGCGAGACCCTCGACGTCTCACGAACCTATGTGCCTCCATGGCCTGTTACAAGGGTAGTTTTACCTTACCTTACTCGTATGATATTATGCCACGTCTTTAAGAACAAGTTTAATATTATTCTCTGCTGGTTTCCCAATTGGTGTTTTCCCCGCGAAAATGTCCAACCAATGTTCATTCCTTGTTCCTGTCCGTGGGACATGTTTTACTCATATCCTCTCATTTAATGGGCATACAAGTGAGCTCAGGGCTGACAGATGTCTGTCGGGTAAATTTCTGCTGGTCTCGCCAGCACAGTCAAATGTGTAATAAATCATTAGCAGTAATATTGCCTCAGAGAATTGAACGGGAAAGAGGAGAGCCTAACAGGCCTACAGACACAGGTCTAAAGTAGAAGGCATTTGTGCTGGAGGGATATGGCACAAGAAAAAGCTCGGCTTCTGTCTTGGGCAATACAATATTCCTCGGAAAACTTAGGTTTCCCCTGCCAATTCTCATTCCACCGAATAAGCCACACTCATTTATAATCGGGAGCTGGTACAACAGGCCAACTATTGGTCGGAGTGCCAAATGGACTCTATCTCACGCCCTCCCACGAATAAAAAATGGGGGAGGGGTTGTCTACTCAAGATACGTACAGCATACCCTCAAGGATGATTTAGACAGACTATGTTTGCAGTCTTATTCATGATCACGAATCGATTCAACGGAATTTCCCACCGGGATCGCATCAACACCGAAAGTATGTTGAAAACTTGCTAAGGGCGACGTAAATATCTACATCACTGACAACGCTGCATCTTCGTTCTCATAGTAGTTGCAGTACATCAGGTGTTGTTACCTTGCATGAACATAAACGAGTACTATCTTCTGTGATGTGACGCCATAGAGTCTGACAGAAGCTCAGGGAAAACTGTAACCGATCGTCACCTACCGGCTTAATTTTTAAATGTTAATAGTGGCAATATAAATTTTAATTTCATTAATACTCAGGACTTAATACCGATCTTGTGCTGAAGGTGATTTATACCCACTTTTACTGTAACTATTCCGAGAATTAGTAGCAAACAATGTTTAGATAAGGACTACTTGAAAGATTTTCGTTAGCCGGCGCGGTATGTGTATCAGCTACTGCTCCCACCAGTCCAATTAAAGAATGTATGAGTATGAGGGGTGAGCCATAAAACTGGCCCTAGCACTGCGACCTTCAATGGTCTATTGTGCGTCACATTTGGATTAACCATTTATTAATCCTACACTTCGAATGAAATGTAGGGCTTTGTTTACGGGGGCGTCATAAAAGTCACTTGGTTCCATGAAGAACTGACCCAGGTGGCGATATCTTAGGTAAGCTACAGCCTCGCAATCACATAGGGTGTGTGTGGCTGATTCTTCTTCTTGTAGGCACCTCTCACAAGTTGGGTCCTCTGTCAGTCCCAGTTTGGAAAGGTGTCCTTTTAGGTGGCAGTGTCCTGTAAGTAATCCTACCACCCATCTGAGTTGATCTCTGTTTATTTTAACAGGTCCCTCGTTCTTTTGGCAGAGGGTCCTGATATAAATCTTTTTGCCTGTTTGAGTCCGGTTATGGAATTCCAGTCCAATTAAAGAAACTTCCAGAACATTCTCAACCTGTAAAACAGTGAGAAGGCATCAGGAAAATCTCGATATGGAAGATTCTGGAAGTATTACGTCATTCCATTGTATTTAAAGGCTGATTTCGGAAGGCGCTGATCATAACATTCAGTGGGTGTATTCATATTATTCAAAAAGTGTATTCGTTGTAACCATAGAGTGTTGTCTACAGTTGTGTACCAGAGCAGTTGTATAAGCCTAAACCAGTGTTCCGCAACCGGTGTGCCGTCACAAGGTGAAAGGTGTGACGCGAACATTTTACGTATTGTAAGAAAGTAATTGTCAAATTTTATTCGTTTTATTTTATCCCAGTTACCGTGTGTCATATGCTTGTATTTTATTCTCAGCCACTGCACTGATTAAACAAGATGATGCTTGTTTATTCTTTATTACATGCTGTGATTTTTTATGTACAGTAACGTTGTATTCTAAGAAATTAAACGAAAATTATTGTTGATATATCATAGTTTTCATTATTGATTTGTTTTTATTTTTCTCGCATCATTCTTTGATATGCTTGCCGCATGTTTTGTGTACGTGCTTTTCCCTAAAACTGCAGGGATTAGCATGGGTTTTCCTGTCTTTTATAACGCTGTTTCGGTATTTGCCCCTGTTTGTTAGGAGTTAGAGCTTCTTCAACTTTATGACTTTCTTCCTGTAACGATGCACCCACCGATTGTTGGACTTCATTTAAAATTATAAATATTTCATAAATAAGCAGGTATAGTGTCACTTCTTCCTTTTGAAGAGTAGAGATCCCGCGTTTTACAATTGTTTCAGTTCTATCACAGCTGTGCTCTGCAGTAGTTCGAAAATTTTGGTTGCTAGTTAGAGCATTAAGGATGGGTCGTTTGAGATGTCCCCGACTGTATGGCCACTTGCTGACGGCAATAAAGTGGTGATGGACACAATTAAAGAACATTTAGAAATGCTGCAGCAGAAATTCAATAAGTATTTTGGAGAGAGTGTACAAGATTTCGACTGGGTTCGTGATGCATTTGTTGTGAATTCAGAACATCTTCCGATTAATATACAAGAGGAACTCGTAGATTTAAAAGCAGACAGAACATTTCTGTTTAATGATAATAAAAAAACAATATAATAATATTGTCTGATATCATGCGTTTTGGTGTGCCGTGTTGAGTCTTGGATACTTCATGGTGTGCCGCGAGTAGAAAAAGGTTGCGGAACACTGGACTAAACAGACTAATGTGTGTAACGTCGTGTAGTGTTCTGGACAATAAATCAAGTTCACCATTTGATTAGTAAAGTGTGGTCCAGTCTTCTTCAAGGTCCGTTAAGCCCTGGGAGGGATCCTCATGCTCGCACCCTAAAAATCATTCTTGTTTCCAACCATACATCACTCCCGATATTTCGACGTGGTTATAAGATCACGTGGCGCCCCACTACGTACAAGGGGTGAGTGGGAGGGAAGGAAGACAAAACTTGTACCAGACTACACGGCGTCACATCCTATAAGCTATTACTTCTACAGTCACCGCATGAAAACGTCAAACCTTACCTGAACATGATTCCGTTGTTAAGACTGTCCGGCAGAGGAGGCGGCGAGCGGCCAAATCGTGCTGCCACCTGGCGGGACATGCAGTTATATGTAAGGTCCACCATTGTTCCTGCTAGCCCCTGGTCATCTCTTGCAGCCATACTCTGGCCACCGTCGTATTTTGGTGGGAAGTCCACATGAACATACTTCAGTTCTCCCTCTGCCATTGTAACATCACTTACTGCCCATAAGTTTCACGGGTTCACACTACACCTGTAATGGTATACATTTATGTTCATAATGAAGAGCCACGAATTCGTCATTAGGGTAGTTAAACTGAGACTATTCTGATAAAGAGTAAAGTTACCACTGTTTCCAAGCATTACACCACGAAGAAGTATGGGTGTTGTGCAGATAAACCCCACCCTTTCTTAACCCCAGATTAGATGGGAGTGAGTGGTCAGCTTCACAATCCGTACAAACGTCTTGTTTATATTTCAAAACACAACGTTTCGAAGACTGGATTCTGTCTCCGTCTTCAGGTAAAACCTACTCAGTTGGACCCAATCGATAGAGCTAGTCCTTATCTCCGGATATAATCTCCGAAATGTTGTGTTCTGAAATATAAGCAGGACGATGGATAATGTCCGAAAACATAATACTCGTACCAATGTACGATCGTCACAAACTTTTATATCTCTATCACACTCCGTGGCTGATACCCGTTGCATATGATGGCGGTAACTTCCGCCCCTGTTGGGAATCCAACCACGGTCGACAAGTCCAGATCACGGGACACCACAAAAACTTCCAAAAAGAGATACACTCTGAAATCAAAGTGTAACATGAAAGGGGCGATGGGGGAGGGGCATTCTGCAAGGCTTAAGAAAGGACTTGAAAGTATGAAAAATATAAACGCCAGTTACAAAGCAGGGAAAAGGCAAAAACCCGACAAGAGGTGCCGAAAGATGATGATGGCTTGTTAAACTACAAAGGCTCTTTAGACGGCTAATGAGACTGTTTCCTGAGCTCTCTGTATGACCGATAAGAACATCTGAGTTAAGCCTGTATTTGGCTGATTCAGCCTTCCTGATGACCGCTAAGCGCGTCACAGATAATCCTACACTTGACTGACTGATAGGACCTTCTGCATCGGACTTGCGTGCCGCTTCTTCGCATTTCCTGTACTTATGTTGTTTCAGTCTCTAATAGGTTTATAGTAGCATTGTAGCAGTTTATTTTATAGTCGACCTGAAAACATTATTACTGTCTTGGACTTGTTCGCCATTTCCTGCTGTGCAACAACTTCTACATTAGAGTCTAAAGGGTTCTGACGATGAAGGTTATCGCACAGAATTACTGGGTTTTTGGACTTTTCCCATTGTCCGGAATTATAGGAAACAGAAAACACGATGTTTCGGAAACTGGATATGTTTCCGTCTTCAGGTGAGGAAGGAAGACACCTACTCAGTTGGGCCCCTTAGAAAGAGCTAATCTCAATCGCCGGGTCACTCAATCCACTCAATTCCGGACGATGGAAAAGTCCAAAAATCCAGTAATTCTGAAGCTCTATATTCATATGAAATACTGACGAAATACAATTTTGTGGGAAGGGTCGGTTTTGCTTTGATTTGGGAGAATACCTTCCGGAGTGTGCTGTCAATTTCTAGGACACTTATGACTTTATAACGGTTCCCAATCCGGTTGAAGGTTTCACAAACATCTTTCTTCTATGTATAACTCCGTGGCTTTGTCCCGCAAGCGAACTATACCGACCGAGCGACAGTCGCTTGTCGGCGAAGTTAGTGCCAACTTTAGCGGATAGAGAGTGTCGCTTGGAGAGCGCAACGGATTCCCACGGTAGTTAATCTCGGTTTTCTAGACCGGAGCCGCTACTTTTCCATTCAAGTAGCTCCTCGATTATCCTCACGAGGATGAGTGGACCCCGTTCCAGACGCGGTACTTCACAGAAAATCTGGTAGCACCGGAATCGAACCCGGGACCTCTGGATCTGTAACCAGGATTTCTGACCTCTAGACTACAGAGGCGGTCTCTTTCTTCAATGTACGGGATAAGAAAACCGTATTTGTGAACTTATATTTTTAATTTATATCTTTCATGGAGACTATAAGACGATGTGAATATCAGCTGCCCAGGAGGGAGTTTACTCTATGTATTTCGGTCCATTTGGTTATGAACTACCGTTTGCTGGAACTTTCTTGTTTCCTCCGCTGTCTGACGCAGTAGATCTATGGGGCTGTGTCAGAAAATGTCTGGGTTGCCCTCACTATTCTTTGGTTTGCTCTTGGCTTGCTAAGAATTATATGGAGAATTCTACTGAAACTGGGGTACCTCCGTGACTAGGCTGCGGGATGGACGAGCGAGGAATTGTGATTCAATTACTGGAAGAGGTAACAGACTTTTCTCTTAACCAGGGCATCAACACCGGCTCTGGGACCCACCCAAACTCCCATCCTACCGGAACCGGAGGCTCTTTCTCAGGGGATAAAGTGACCGGTGCATGAAGCTGACCACTCGCGTCCACCTAGTGCAGATGTTTTGAACGAGTGGAGTTAGACTGCCACTCCCGCCACGTCTTCATGGTGTGGTGCTTAAATAAACATAGGGATAACTTTACCTGTACTACCCATTACAGTCTAGTGTTTAACCAGTCTGTACCACCACATATTGGTGGCAGATCATTTTATTATTTACTTCCCAACAGGAATTAGTCCATAAGGTCTAAAATTTTGTGACGATTGTACATTAGTACAAATATTATGTTTTTGGACTAGCCCTATCGATTGGGCCCAAGTGAGTAGGTTTTACCTGAAGACGGAGACAGAATCCAGTTTCCGAAAATTTTTGTTTTGAAAAATAAAACAGAACGGTTTTTAAATAAAGACAAGACGATGGATAATGTCCAAAAACACAATATTTGTAATAATTACTCCACGTTCTCATACCAAGGCTATATCATCAAAATTTGGAAAGCTTTTGCGCGTACCAACAGAGACTGGTTTTGCTAAGCTGAAAAGCTGGATTTTCTTTCTCTGCGTCTGACTGAAGATGGAGAGAACCAGTCCCCGAAAAATAACGATTTATCACCATCATCATCATTAGTAAAACAGCCTCTTTTCAGCCATAGCCTTCCTTAGAATATTTTGCCAGACTTGTCTCTTTAGCATCCGGGTTATCACTTACCTGGATTTCACAACAATATTTTTTTTGCAGAGCAAGGTCGTCAGCCTTGCGTTTAACCGCTGACCTGGAGCCAGGTCTCTGCATATATGCCCCCCCCCCGGCAACAGGGTGGCTCGGCTATACCCCCCAGGCCCAAGTTCCTGGTTCGTCGCCTTCTACGACTCGCAGAACTAAATTGGAGGTGTTCTAACCCGCCTCCACACGGGTA